GTGTGTGTGTGTGTGTGTGTGTGTGTGTGTGTGTGTGTGTGTGTGTGTGTGTGACAGACTCCAGCACAGAGTGAACGTCCTCCAGCAGCAGCTGAGTGACAGCCACAGTCTCGTCCAGACTCTGCAGAGCGAGCTGCAGGTGTGTCGCAGGGTGGGCGGAGTCACCAGCAACACACACTCAGGTAAGTGAACATCTGTAAACATCAGTTTCTGTAGAGAGAACCAACATCTGGAGTCACGGCTGAATTCAGGGACGACACAACATTAAAAACTGCCGAGTCACTAACTTTTGAAAACATCTGAATGATTTCTGAGCTCACGAGACCGATGGCGTGTTTGTGTTGCTCATCTGTGTTTGTGTGTTTCTCCACAGGTCGGCTCAGCGACAGCATCCAGCCAGGACACGTCACCTTCGACCCCAGGGAGCTGCACGTCCAGCTGGAGCAGCAGCTGAGCGGACAGCCCCGAGCCCGGAGGCTGCTCTTCAGCGGTGAGCACAGTCCCAGCATGAGAACATGAAGCGAGCCGAGAGCAGAAAAGTGTTCACATGTTTTGGTTCCTTGTGAAACTGTGGAGGTCGTCAGCTGAGCCGGGACTCGTTCACGCTGATAAAGGAACGTGGACACAGAGATCTGATCCTCCTCAGACAGTAGAAGAAGAATAGATGTTGTCCATCAGCTGTGTTGTGGTCAAACGTCTTGACTGTAATCTGATTACCTCAAATATAGATTTTAAATGGTGGGGAATCAAATGCATCCTGGGTACTTTTTACTAGGGCTGCAGGAAAAGTCTGGAACATGTCAGGGACATGTCCAGACTTCAGTGTTTGATAACAGCGACCCTGAGCTCAGTACTGATGAAAATCTTGGTCCACAGACAATGTTCCGTCTCCTCCTGTGAGAGACACTGGACTCGTGGGTCCCTCCTCTCCTCTACATGCTGGACAGAAACGTGCAGAAAACACAGGAGCTGCTGATCACGGTGAGAAATTCAAACAAACATTTTCTCTTCTTAAGAAAAACGTCTCGTTCACCTTCCAGATATTTGACTCAAGCAGCTTCATGTTTGTTAATCTCCCTCCAGCAGCCTCCACCCCGCCGGCCCAAACACCGGGCGGTTCATTCGCCAGTCGTCTTGGCCGCCACGCCGTCGGACACCTTGAGGACTTCAAGGCTCTGCAGCAGCAGATCCTGGAGGGGGGCACGCTGCTCTGCAAGATGGAGGCAGCCCTTCGGCCCCTGGTCGTTCCAGCGCTGCAGGAGTTCAGCCTTCGTCAGGTGAGAACAGTCGACGAGTCTGCAGATTCACTTCGTCAGCTGCGGTGGTTTTAACGATCGTCCTCTGTTTCACAGCCTTCAGACTCAGGTGCAGTGAGGAAGCTGCTGTCAGACACTAAAACCCTGCGACAGATCCTGGAGGAGGCCGACGCTCTGCTGCAGATGTTCTGGAGGGCCGCTCTGCCAAACTCTGAGGAAACCAAACAGGTCGGGAACAAAGTCACAGAGAACAAAATCTGAGTCTGATGTAAAAGAACAAGGAAAAGAATTAAAGCTGCAGCAACAGATTTTGAAATCCTTTCTCCCGTGGTCGAGGGCAGAGCCCCTGAAATGTCCTCCACAGTTTGCTCTGGTTAATATTTTTCACCAGCAAAGTACAGTAACAGGAAGTAGAGACTGAATCACTGGGGACGCCCTGAGCAGCTGCTTTGATCGGCTGGGTTTTATTGATTTTAACCCTAACACTGTGAATGTGTGTGTATGTGTGTGTATGTGTGTTTCCAGGATCAGTCTCTGAAAGACGAGGTTGTTTCTCTCCGTCTGAAGCTCTCGGAACAAGAGCAGGCTCTCAAGGACGCCACGGAGAGAGTGAAGAGCTCCGACCGCACCAAAGACAGCATGGAGCAGCTCATTATCAGCCAAAGTGAGTCCTGTGAAACCATCTGTCACACAGACCAGTTGTTTCTGTGCTTCTTTATTATTTTGTGAAAGTTCCTGAAACACTTCGTCATCATGACCCTCGTTTACTTCTGGTGACTCAGGGTCATTGAAGCACAACTAAAGTTCATCGCCTGTATTTTCCTGCACATTTGAAAGATTCAGTTTAACTGACGACTCGTGTGTGTGTGTCTGTGTGTGTGTGTGTGTGTGTGTGTGTGTGTGTGTCTGTGTGTGTGTGTGTGTGGACAGTGTCGAGAACACGGGACGTCTTGAGAAAAGCCAAGACGAACTTACAGGTGAGCTCACAGCTTCTCACAGCTTCTCACACGTTTTAACAGTTTTCTCATCACAAGTCTTTGGTTCTTTGAAAACTGAGGATGATGAAGATGATGAAGATCTCACTCTAACTCCCTCTCTCCTCCTGCTGAGTCTCCTCAGGAGAACCAGCTCAGGATTTCCTCCCTTCGCCAAATTTCTTCCTCCTCTTCCTCCCTTTATCCCTCTTCCTCCTCCTCTTCCTCACACCCCGGGCCTGTTAAAGGTACGGCCCTCTGGCTTCGCTGAGTTCCACTAACACAGTGAAAACATCTGTTTCAGACTGAACTAACGACTGAAGCTGTTTTCATGAGTTTGTGTTTGAGAAATGAAGAACGCAGCAGGAGTTTGTCCTTCGCTCTGTGTGTATCTGTGAGTGTAAAGAATCTGTGGACGAGGGACAGAACGCTTCTGGTGTCTAGATGGACGAGTCACATTAAAGACATAAAGAGCTGCAACAGGAAACACATCTGCTTTTTAATTCAACTGCAGTCATCAGCAGAAAGCTGTTAACACTTTAAGACCTGAGGAGCTTTTCAAAAAACAAACTGTCCAGAAGCAGAACTGACTCGGATGTTCAGGAACAGACTTCAGGTCTGAAAACATCTTTTCTCACCTGGAGGATAATGAGCAGAGCAAAGACGAAGCTCATTCCTCAACACGTCTGCTAACAAACCACACTCGCTTGTCAGAATGAACGACCTGCAGTGGAATGAAGTTTGTGACGTTTGAGTGAATTATTCAAGTTTAAAGTTTAATAAAATAAATCTCGTGATGAAAATCTGAATTATTTCTCGTGTGTCTTTCAGGTGAGAGCACACGAGGCTTCTGGGAGCTCGCCCTCTCTGGTCGCAGCGTCATGATGGCGTCTCAAACTTCCTCCTCTTCCTCCTCCGCTGTCCTGGGACCTGCTCACCACCAGCGCCCCCTGCAGGCAGCCTTAGTGTAGTGCACCAGCCCGTAGCTCCTTCCTGTTCACACAGAAGATTCTGTCTCTTACTGACAGGACAAACATTTCAGTTAAGTCACGACGTGTCGGTGGATGTTTGTGTTGTTTGGTTTCTGACGACAGTTTATGAATGTGAATGATCGTCATGGTTCTGATCTGGGTTCAGTTTAGTCCTCGTGTGTTTGCTCTTTTCTGTGTAAAACATTTTCAGGAACTTGAAGCTAAAAAACAACATTAGAAATAAAAAATACAGTTTTTCTGAACCAGAAGCTGCCGATGAGAATCCAGTGTCAGGTTTAAAGAACAAAGCTCCACCGGACGAGACACAACCAAACTGCAAAGTGCTTCCTCTCGGCTTCTGTTGAAGCTTGTGTTGATGTAGAATCGTGCACGTGCTCTGAGCAGCTTGTGGAAACTAAGCCATACTTTGTTTGTCCTTTGTCCTCATTATACTGAGAATCTCATCAAATGGCCAAACTACTGATATGAGGAAAAGTGACAGAATATCCTGCAGTCATTTAGTTTTTTTGCTTTTACTGTCAAATAAAACAAAAATAAGATTTTATTTCTCGTTATCCTCAAACTCCAGAGAATCACTGTCCAATATTGAGTCTGTTATATTTTTTTAAAAAAAGGGTCCAACCCAGTTTGTCCTGCAGGTGAGAGACGTTTCTGATGAAGCTGCAGTGACGAGCAGCGTCTTTATCACCAGTGTAAATAATCGAGCACAAGTTACAGACTCAGCAGTTTGTACGATGCCTTCAGGGACCTGTCGGACAATCAGTAATACATGGAGAGAAACTCATTTCTAGTGCAAGGTCCAAGAAAGATGACATGGCATATTTGTGAATGGACCATGCTGTTATCTTTTTTTTTTTTTTTAATTAGCCCTTAGGAGATACATTTTTTATTTTTGCTAAATTTGTGAATATTTTTTTAGATGACTTCCAAAAATATCATGAACTTCGTTCATATTTTTTCTTGTGCAGGACACTGACGCTCACTGTGCAACTGAACCTCTCTGGAATTGGGTATTCGACACTTCTTCTAAAACGTTTTTAGATTTTCTTATTTGATTTCTCTATAGATGAATTGACCGGTTTCTTTTTGTGCATGAACTGTGGCGGGACCGCCCTCCAACACTTCTACTGAAATATGCAATTTCTGGGTTCCTGTGCAATATTAGCCTCCGTTTGCTTTTTGTTGCTGTATTATTTCTGGGTTTTAAAGTGCCACGTCGTCTGTTTCTGACTCTGATGCTGAACTGATTTCAACAAACAGACTTTCGGATGAATCAGTTTAATGATCCTCACATTTCTGAACATGAGAAAGGCGAAGAAACAGCAGAAGAAGAACAGTGTCATGGTTTATTTGTGAAACCAGAGTTTTAAATATTCTTTTGTGTGATTTGTCAAAGGTCAAAGGTCAATTTGAAAGTGTCTTTGTGGTTTTAGGAACCACAGCTTGTGTGTGTAAATATGAAAGTGTGTGTACATCCATGCAGCTGTTTGTTTTGTGTTGCTGTGAGAGAAGAGATTGTCTTTAAAGACCGGCTGTATTTTTATGCATGTTCTCTTTAATAAACATTATTTGGGTTAAAAAGAGTCAGAAAAGAACCTTTTCATTAAAAGGGAAGAAAATAACCTCGGACTAGTTTCTCTGTTTTTCATCTGGAGTGAAGAAGAAGAATCTTTCCACCACAGCCTGTAACAAATAATGAATTATTTTATTATGATGGTGTGATCATATAGTTAAATTATTATAATTCTGTTAATATGTTTAACACAAAAGCTATCAATGAAGAAATGAGTTAGGTGAGTATACAGCTTACAATTTAATAGAAGATATGCAGTAGTTTTATCTTTTAAATATTCTGTGCAGTATATAAATAAATATCTGCCTGGTAATAAGTGTTCTCTGTATTATTCCTCCAGATTTATAACTTCATGGTGTTTCAGATTTTAAGCAGTGTGAGATAATAAAGCAGATTCACTGAGACATGAGTTAACAAACAGCAGGAGGCAGCAGAGTCTAACATCACAGCATCATCTCAGCTCAGTGACACGTGTCAGCTGTTCACTCACATTCAACCTGTTCATCTCTTAACACTGACGTTCACTTCATGAATCTTTTGTTTGGAAGCCGAGGCAGTTTAATTCATGAAGCAGCTTTCAGACACTCAGGTGGATTCAAGGTGAAGTGATTCAAAGAAATAAAGAAGGATTTAAATGATATAAAAATGAAAGAACACAGTCACAAAATAAAAACAATGAAGGGACGACCTCAGACTTTGTCAAAAATAGTTTAGTCAAAGGGACTTGAATTTAAAAGCAGCAATGGAAGGTGTGTTCCATAAACTATTGGAGAGGGAGGATAGAGATGGAGAGATGGTGGAGAGATGGTGGAGCTTCTGACTGTACATGACACCAGCAAAATAAAATAATATTTAAAAGCTGGTCCATGAAAAAAGAGGTCCATGAAAATGACCTGCTCTTTGTTTTTAAATGAAATCTTTTGTCAGTCAATCAATCAATCAATCAATCATTAAATCAATCAATCAATCAATCAATCAGTCTCTCTCTCTCTCTCTCTGGTCGCTGAGTTCTTTTACTTTGAAGAGCCCGTGCTCTTATTGTGGTGAGGTGGGACCGGACGTGTCGTGCTGGTTGTCGGTAACTTGCCGGTGACGGAGGACTCAGGAACTGATCCGAGCCGCGCTCCGGTGAGCTCCCGTGTGTTCCCCGGCTGTACCCTGTGGTTGTCCCGCACTGAGCCGCTCCACCCGGCGCTGCTGCCCACGCACCCACCCGGCCCCAGCGGGGGGATGGACGGAGGAGCGTGAGGAGGAGAGCCGCAGCCTGACGACTCACCGAGGCCGAGAAAACGCTGCGGAAACCGGCGGGAAGCAGCAGGAACCGTCCGCCGGGGAGAGGGCAGCTGTCATGGGTGTCACGGTGCTCCGGGGCAGGTAGCCCGGCTAGCAGCGAGCTCACAGCTAGCAGCAGCTAACCAGGCACTAACCAACCAACTAACTAACTATCACTAACTAGTCGTCAGAAGAACAACATGGACCGTCAGTGACAAACCGAACGAACCGTGTTTCACCGCGTTGGAGCAAAGAGGCGCTGCGGTTGGTTGACAGCTCGTCACGGCGGGTCGCCCCGATGGTGTGAGGTGGAGCCCGGCTCCAGGTGAGCTCCACCGGCCGCTGAGTCGGAATGGCTGCCCGGCACGAACTCCCGAGTGACGGCTCTGATTCTGGCAGCGGGGTGACACTGAGGTGGACGCCGGTCGAGAGGACCCGTTGAGCCGCTACAGCGAGAGGAAGGTACCGATAGAGAGAGAGAGAGAGAGAGGGAGGAGAGGAGAGGAGCTCTGTCAGTCATCTGCTGAGGAGCGAGGGATGAGGAGGACTGAGAACACGAACAAGAGGAAACTGTGCAACATGGAGCAGCAGGAGGACAAAGATGCGGTGAGTAGTGACCGACACAGGTTCGAGTCCCTGAGTCCACAGGGCTTTCTTCTAGATTCTCAGAGTTTCATTCACAAACACGTTCAAGCACCTGAGCTGCTGTCAGACACTGAACTCCGCACATTGTCCAAAGGTTCTCAGGAGGAGGTGCTTCTGTGAACGTGAGTTTCTGGTGTGAAAGAGGAGCTCATGTGTGAATACAGCAGGAGATCCTCCTCTGCAGCAGGAGATCCTTCTCCTCCGCAGGATTCACACAGCAACAGAAGCAAAAATGAACACCAATATAAATATCTCCGCAGTTAAAGGTCCAGTGTGTAGAATGTAGTGACATCTAGTGGTGAAGTGTCATGTTGCAGCTGAACCCCCACCCCCAGAGAACCTGTGGTAGCTTCAGTTGTCATGAAAACACAAAAGGTTTGTCCGGTCTGAGCTACTGTAAAAAAACATGGCTGCCTCCGTAGAGAGGACCCACAAAGACCACATGGTCTCTGCGACAGAATGAAAACGTCCTGTCTCCGTCGGCCGCTCAGCGTCTCACCTGAACCCAGCGGAGGACTTTTGTTGCTGTTTGAATCTCCCACCGCGCTGTCCAGACACATTTCTCTGGAGTTCCTCTAGAGGACACGTATGAACGTGACTTTACACACGTGCACTGAAACACAGCCAGTGTCCGACTGACACGTTTGTAGCCCCTTGCGATCGTCTCACGAGAATATCCGGAGCTCAGTGCAGGTCTGAGATCAGCTTTAAACAGATGCGCTGACATATTCAGGCCTCTGCTGATCGATCGGAGCATCTTTAACGAACCCGTCATCAGGGAGCTCATTGTTGTCGTTTGACTTTCATGGTGAAGTCTGTTTAAAACACTGAACCTCACACACTGCGGCAGCCGACTGTCGTTATTTGTCTGTTGTGTTTTAAAGAGGTGCTTCAGTTCTGTGTAACCAGAGATTAACATTTTATGAGTCTCAGTAAACATGGACTTTTTCCTTTTAGTAAAAACTGCTTCCAAAGATGAAGTCATCGCTGTGGCTCATAAATTCACATTTGTTTCCTCCAACCTTTGGAAGTTTGATCTGAGTCCGTCACTCGATAGCCCAGCACCACCCTGCTGTTTGGGTTATTACGGGAACAATAACGCAAATTAACAAGATGTCCCCTCAGCTGTCGTGTTTTATAACCGTCAGTCTTCAAACCAGTTTATGTTGGGTGGTGTTGAGTCTGTGAGGGAGGTGCTGAGTTTGAACCTCATGGAATCATTGGACGTCAGACAGATGTTTCTGCGCTGCAGCTGGTTTGTGTGCTTGTGTGTGAAACAGTATAAAATGGAGTCAGACGGGCGTTTTCATCCAGAGAGACTTACGTACCTGTCGCAAACATGAATCCTCGCTCTGTTGAGCCGCTGTGATTCTTCCAGGGGCTGCTGGGAGTTTGCTGTTAATTAGTCCATCGGATTTTTCTGTGTATCCTGTATCACTGGGATTCAAGCTTCGACTAATCTGTTGATTCTGGTTTTGATTAAACTGTTGAAGAAAATCTCTTGGGGGGGAGGGGGAATCATTTCCTGCAACTTCAGCCTTAAATCATAAAAAAAAAACTTTAAGTCCAAGATCCTTGTATAAATAATGACGAGTTTATTTATTGCACAACTGGGTAACAAGTGAAGGCTACATTTACACAGTCTATACTGCAATGCTATGTCTCCCC